GGAGGCTGAGGCAGGAGAATTGCTTGAATCCGGGAAGTGAAGGTTGTAGTGAACCGAGATCGCACTATTGCACTCCAGCCTGGGTGACAGAGACTCCATCTCAAAAAAAAAAAAAAAAGTACGGAGAAGAGCAGAGCCCCAGCCCCATCCTCTCTTACCAGCAAATCAAAGACTGTCCCACAAACCTATTCTGCAAACTTCTGCTTAGATGCCATTGACCAGAATTGGGCCGCCCTCAGCTGCAAAGGAGATTGGAGAAGTAGGCAACAGGATTTCTGATGGCTGGGAAGATCAATCAGGTTGAATTGTCAAGGACTGAGTGCATTGCCACTCCCAAAGCCATGTGTGTTATCTGGTAGTAGGGGGGAAGGGATAGTTCTGCCATGTTATTAATACTTATTCTCTCTATGCTTCACAGCTCCTTGTACAAACATCAATGAATGCAGGCATCACATCAAAGCATTGTGGAGACATGTCTGTGTCTCCCTCCAGACCAACAATTCTCAACCCAGGCTGCACGTTAGACATATCTGGGGAGCTTTTGAAAGAAACCAGTGCCTAGACCCCATGCACAGAGATTTTAATGTAATTGGTCCAGATGTTAACCCCAGCATAACTAATTTGTAAAAGCTCTCCAAGTGATTTGAATGTGCAGGGTGTTTTGAGAACCCTGACATAGACCCAGCACCTTAAGAACCCTGTCTATGTTTCCTTCGACTGGCATACAAGGCTCACAGGAAATCCTCACTGAATGAACAAATAAATGAATGGCAGAGAATTTCTGCTCCAACTCTGCAGTCCCTAGTCTGCAGTGTGCACTGTCCTAAGTGTGGTTCCTCCCTCGCCTCAGATCTCCCTCCTTCACTGAGTCTGCAGTCAGCCTTCCTTAATTAGCCACATCCACAGCTCCGACTGGGCTCCTGCTTCTCCCACAGCTGCTGTGCTGGACACCCTAGTCCCACTGTTTTCCCGGAAGCTGCCCTAGTCTTAGAAGGAAATAACCCTCCATCAACAGCCAGGCTCAATTCTCGTGCCTCAGTTAAAGCCCCTGCCCAGTGTGAGAGAGGAACGGGGGAAAGGGAGGATTGATCAGCTTTCTGTCCCACATTCAGCGACAGTCCCAAAATGGACACCCAAGTAGCCAGCAGCAGAGTGTCTGGCCTTATTGACAAGTAACCCTCAGAGAAAAGGATTGCTTGTTGCTTCTCCTGCCTAAGTGTAGAAAGTTATCTGATTCCTTAGACAAATGTGAGTCTGCAAAATGCCCCTGTTGATATCACAGAAATGAGTCTGTGGTGAGTACATCCTCAGAGATGATATCATCTGGTATCCTACCATCTGATCTAGTCCCCATCACGCTTCTGAAAGTGCTTGTTCAAAGGTAACCTGCAGGGCCAGCCTCACAGGCATGCAGCCGACGAGGTCCCACAAGACCTCATGCCCTGTGCTCAGAAGAGCCCTGCAACTTGGTTTTACACTGTGCTGCTGTCGTCATCTTGAAATTCTTTTTTATTTTTATTTTTTAGAGACAGAGTCACACACTGTCACCCAGGCTAGAGTGTAGTGGTGCAATCACAGCTCACTGCAGCCTCCACTTCCCAGGCTCAAGCCATCCTCCCACCTCAGCCTCCCAAGTAGCTAGGAATACAAGTATGTGCCTATGTGCCACCATGGTCCGTTGATTTATTTTTTCTTTTTGTAGAAACTGTATTTGGACAATTTTTTGTTTGTTTGTTTGTTTGTTTTGGTAGAGACGAGGTTTTACTATGTTGCACAGGCCAGTCTCAAACTCGTGAGGCTCCTTGATCCTTGGCCACCCAAAGTGCTAAGATTATAGGCATGAGCCACTGCACCCAGCCTTGAAATTCTTTTTTATTTTTTTGAGACAGGGCCTTGATGCGTCACCTAGGCTGTAGTGAAGAGGCGCAATCTTAGCTCAATGAAACCTCTGCCTCCTGGGTTCAAGTGATTCTCGTGCCTCAGCCTCCCAAATAGCTGGGATTACAGGTGTGCACCACCGCAGCCCAGTTAATTTTTTGTATTTTTAGTAGAGATGGTGTTTCGCCATGTTGGTCAGGCTGGTCTCAAACTCTTGGCCTCAAGTGATCCACCCACCTTGGCCTCCCAAAGAGCTAGGATTACAGGCGTGAGCCACCACACCTGGCAAGGCCTTGAAATTCTTAACAGCTTTCGCCTGGGCGTGGTGTCTCACACCTGTAATCCCAGCACTTTTCGAGGCCAAGGTGGGTGGATCACTTGAGGTCAGGAGTTTGAGACCAGCCTGGCCAATATGGTGAATCCCTGTCTCTACTAAAAATACAAAAATTAGCTGGGTATGGTGGCAGGCACCTATAGTCTCAGCTACTTGGGAGCCTGAAGCAGGAGAATCGTTTTAACCTGGGAGGCAGAGGTTGCAGTGAGCGGAGGTTACAGCACTGCACTCCAGCCTGGGCCACAGAGTGAGACTCTATCTTAAAAAAAAAAAAAAAAGGAAGAAATTCTTAACAGGTTTTTGAAACAAGGGACCCCCCCCCCACACACGCCCCATTTTTATTTTGCACTGAGCTCTACAATTCCATGTCCAGTCCTGGTCACCCATAGTCTTGCAAAATCCAGCAAGAAAAATCCTTCTCAGAAAGATCTCCAATGCGTGTGACCTCATCTTCCTTTGCGTAAGTATACCCTTCATAGTCTTTGTGACACCCCACTCTCCCGTTCTCTTCCACCTCTTTGACCTGGCAGGAGGGCTTCCAGGTGCCATACAATACAATACCGTGGGTACCATCAGGCTCAACATGCAAGGATGTAGGGTATTGGTAAGCGTGGCACAGAGGTAACAGCTGCTAGCAGGCAATGAAAAGTGGTTGGACAAGGAGTCAGAAAACTGGGCTCTGGTCTTTGGCCACTGACACTGTGTAACTCGGGTCACATTCTGGGCCTCAGTTTACCTGTCTGCAAACTAAGGAGGGTTCAACTGGCTGGTCCCTTCCTTTGAGCTCTATCAATCACTGAGGCTCTGAATCCCAGCACCGAACTGGAGATACTGTAGGTAGGGTGGTGCCACAGGAGGCATCATGTGGTTGGACTTGAGGGTCAAGGGAGTTGCAGGGGATAAGCCACCATGGGCTAAGAAATGAGATGGGTCATCCACATGGATCACATCTATGACCCCTTGTCATCCCTGCCCCTGCACAGCATACGAGAGGAAGTGGAGGGAAAAGCCTGGCGTGGGCAATGAAATCATGGAGGAAGACCATGACGTGTTCTGGAAGTCAGTAATCCTAACAACTAGCCTTTGCACAGCACTTCACAAAGTACCTTCACATCGACTCAACCCTGGCGGGTCCTCCCAACCCTACGGTCACACATGAATCTCATCTTCTGCCTTGAAATCCTTCTTTCCCACTACCCAGTGAACATTAGGAGAGGGTGGTATCGAGGAGTGGCATGGCCTGCAAATGATGCCTGGGGTAGGGACGCCCTGGAGGAACAAGTCATCCAAGCCTTCTTTGGTGCCCAGGCCGGAGGGAGAATTCAAAGTGCCAACCTGAGAGTCCGGGGCTCCAGCAGACTGAGAGAACCTGAGTCGGTTCTCATCCAGATCATAAAATCAGCAGGAAAACTCAGAGACAACCACATCGGTCTTCAGGTGCCTTAAAGAACTTCCAACTCCTAGAGAGGCAATCAATCCACCACACAGAGAACAAACTAAAGTTGAACTACAGCACTCCTGGCAGGCAAGAGGGCTGGGCACAGTGAGGAGCCAGGAGATGAGGAACCCCAGACAGACATGTTTTCCAAGGAAAGGCTAGGGGAAGTTTGCTCACCATGGAAGAAGGGGCCACTGAGCGTGGAAGAAGGGCAGAAGGGGATAGGGGGAGGAATGGAGTTGGGGGGATACTGGTTGCTGGAGACCGTGGATGTGAGATGGGGCCCACCCAGTTCTGCTTGCCAGGCCTGCCACGAAGGGATCCTTCTGCACAGCCAGGTTCTGGGTAAGGAAGAAGGGTTCTGGGAAGCAGAGTTTCAGCCTTGAGGAGTGATGGAAGATGGCAGCATCAAGACCTTGGGAGGGGAGCCTGGTGCAGGGAATGGAACTGGGGCCTGGTCTCCCCATGACAGAGTTCATCAGGGTCCAGGATCTGCCCTCTCTTGGCATTGCCTGGCCACACCATGGCTCAGGTATCCGACACCTGGGCCCGGAGTCACATGCCAGGAAACCCAACACTCTTGGGTCCCAGCCCCCAACTTCCAGCAGCTGCGAGCAAACAGGGCTTCTGGAGGAGGAAGCGGGTCTCCAGAGCCCAGCAGCAGGGAGCCTCCATCCAGGGAGAGGGCACCTGCACTCGAGAAGGCTCTGCCACCAACAGGGGTGAGAAGAATGGAGGAGGATGGGGAGGAGGAGGGAGAAAGTGCAGAGCAGAGAGGACAGAGCTGGGGCAGGCAGAGGGGTGGATGCTCCCAGAAAAGGGGTAGAAGGGCATAGAAGGTGGGGTCAGAGGTCCATTTTACCTAGTCACCTGGCCTAGCTGGACGCCCTGACACCCTATCGCTCATCTGTCCCCCTTGTCTCCATCACACGAGTGCCAACTAGACCTTCTGGTGCCTACCTAGCCCACTTGGCAGCCTCCCAGGTAGGTAGGGGAAGAAGACTTTATTCCGATGACAGGAATCAATACATGGACAGAGGCAGAAACTTAGAAACCCGAAGACCCAGAATGGCCAACAAGGCCTCATAGATTAACCTTCTAGAATCAACAGACCCTAAAAGAGTTTCAAGCGCAAAAGACCCTTTACCCAAAAGGCCCTATTGAGGAGCCTTAAAAGAAGAGAGACCCCAAGAAGGAAGTGAAAAAGTCACCCAGGCTTGAGAGAAGCCCCCAGAGAAGAGGCCCCGGCCCAAAGACACTCCCCAGAGGGACCTCAGGAGGAGAAAGCTGGCAGTGGGGCGTGCGATTCTCTTGACTCACTCTTCTTTTATGTGGCCTCTTCTTCCCCAGATCCTACTCCACTCCAGGACTATGCCAATTTATGGCCATGCTCCCAACAGCAGGTCACCTCCTGTCCCTCCTGCTGATGATAGGCACAGGGGGTACTGTGCCCAGCCCCCTGGTGCCTCCCCGGGGCTGCTACGTGGCAAAGGAAGCAGGTGAACAGACGTTCCGCTGCAGCCAGGCAGGTCTGAGGACTGTGCCCTCTGGCATCCCCAACAACACCCGCAAGCTCTACCTCGATGCCAACCAGCTGGCATCTGTGCCTGCTGGTGCCTTCCAGAACCTGCCTGTCCTAGAGGAGCTGGATCTGTCCCATAATGCCCTTGCCCACCTCTCAGGGGCGGCTTTCCAGGGCCTGGAGGGCACGCTGCGCCACCTCGACCTCTCTGCCAACCAGCTGGCCTCGGTGCCCGTGGAGGCCTTTGTGGGACTACAGATCCAAGTGAACCTATCCGCCAACCCATGGCACTGCGACTGCGCCCTCCAGGAAGTGCTCCAGCAGGTGAGGCTGGCACCAGGCACTGGGACAGGCATCGTGTGTGGCCCAGGAGCCCGACCGGACCTCGTGGGGCAGGAGTTCCTGCTGCTGGCAGGGGAGGAAGAGCTGTGTGGGGCAGGGTGGGGCGGGGCCCGGAGGAGCACCGATGTGGCCCTGCTGGTCACCATGGGGGGCTGGCTGACACTCGTGGTGGCTTATCTGGTGCGTTATGTGTGGCAGAACCGAGATGAGACCCGGCGCTCCCTCAAGCGGGCCCCAGTGCTGCCCGTGCGTTCTGAGGATTCCTCCATCCTCAGCACAGTGGTCTGATGACCCAGGATGCTCCTCCAGTCACACCCCACACTCCTACCCCTATGCCCTCTCCTCTGACCCCCTCTGCCTCCTGTGCAGCTTCACCCCTGCCCCCAAGCCCATCCCACCCCTCCCTCCTTTATTCCCTCTAAATACCTGCGCTGGCTCTCTCTCTCTCTCTCTGTGTCATCTTAACCAACACCATCTTTGGTGCCTAGAGTTTTTTGGTGCCTACTCTGTGCCTGGATTGTGCTAGACTCAGAAAACCCACAACAGAGAATGACAGCAGGTGGGGTGGGAGCAAGAGAGGAGGGGCTGTGGGGAGCAGGTTGAGGAGGGAGCCTGCACCTGGCCCCGGGCAATTTCAAAGACTTCGCTGTAGGATGTTTGAACTGATTCTTTTCTTCTCTTTCTTTTTTTCTTTGAGATGGAGTCTTGCTGTGTCGCCAGACTGGAGTGCAGTGGTAGGATCTCGGCTCACTGCAACCTCTGCCTCCCAGGTTCAAGTGATTCTCCGCCTCAGCCTCCCCAGTAGCTGGGACTACAGGCGTGCGCCACCACACCCAGCTAATTTTTGTATTTTTTAGTAGAATTGAGGTTTCACCATGTTGGCCAGGATGGTCTCCATCTCTTGACCTCGTGATCTGCCCTCCTTGGCCTCCCAAAGTGCTGGGATTACAGGCGTGAGACACCGCGCCCGGCCTGAACTGACTCAGGTGGGTGGATCACCCAAGGCAGCATGCAACATGAACCCCTCGGATCATTACAGGCCTACACAGCCCTTCCGCCACCAGCTTCCTCCTGCCCTACAGAGTAGAGGCCTGGAGAGGGAGAGAAAGCCAAGGGTACCCTGAGGGAGCCCCCAGCTGAGGGGGAGTGAAGCCCCACCCCTTCCTGAACTGGACTCACAAACAGAGGCTTCAAAAGCGCAATCCTAAAACTGAGGTCTCCTACAGAGTGAGGGGCATCAAAGCCAGAGGCATCCCAGGGAGCTTATTCCAAAGAGAGGGACTGCCTCCCCCATTGGACTAAAGGGAGTTCAAACTGCTAGAAATGATTTCGCCTTAGCTCTCTAAGAATCTGACATCATCAACCTCTCTCACCTCCAAGGAACTCGTCTCCACTAAAAATACAAAAAATTAGCCGGGCGTGGTGGCAGGCATCTGTAACCCCAGCTACTCATGAGGCTGAGGCAGGAGAATCACTTGATCCCAGGAGGTGGAGGCTGCAGTGAGCCAAGATCATGCCACTGCACTCCAGCCTGGGCCACAGATCAAGACCTTCTCTAAAAAAAAAAAAAAAAATAGGGAGAGTTTTGGACAGAAAAGAGAGAGGAGAGAGGGTCCCTAGATGAAAGGTGTGAACAAGGTAAGGAAGATGTGAAACAACTCAGAATGTCTGGGCAGCAGCAAGACTCACCCTTGGGGCTGGAAGAGAGGGTGCAAAGAGGGGCAAGGGAAGGGTGGGTGGGACCAAACTGGAGGGGAGGTCAAAAGCCAGGCTGTGGCCAGATTTAAAGTGACACTGTGGGCTGGGTGTGGTGGTTCACACCTGTAATCCCAGCACTTTGGGAGGCCAAGGCAGGCAGATCACAAGGTCAGAAGATCGAGACCATCCCAGCTAACATGGTGAAACCCTGTCTCTACTAAAAATACAAAAAATTGGCCAGGCGTGGTGGCGGGTGCCTGTAGTCCAAGCTACTTGGGAGACTGAGGCAGGAGAATGGCGTGAACCCGGGAGGTGGAGCTTGCAGTGAGCCGAGATCGCGCCACTGCACTCCAGCCTGCGCGACAGAGCGAGACTCCGTCTCAAAAAAAAAAAAAAAAAAAAGACACTGTGGGCTCCTCCTCCCTTCTCCCTCTGCCTCTACTGAGAGCGTCCACTGAGAGCCTCCCCTGGCTTCTTGCTTCTCTTGTCCCCAGGCTCCTGTTCCTGTGCCCTCTATTGGGGATCCCCTCCTCCAGCTCAGGGTCCCTATCCAGAGAGTCCCAATCTCTCTCCGTCTTCTCCTTTATACACTGATGAGTTTCCTGAGCTCCTTCTCGTGGGGGAAAGGTGGTCTCTATGACTGAGCTGGGGACAGGTGACTGGAGAGCTGGGCGGGGGAAGTGAGGAGACCCCAGAACATCCCTGGACAACTCAATAAAGTCACTTTTATCAATGCTCTGGTCTCTGATTGCTCGTTTTCCTGGGCACCTGTGGCCTGTTGGTGACGAGAACGGGTGCTGAGCTTGTCTTCAGCCCTCCACCACCCCTTTGGTGGGGGTGCTCCTGCTGGGCTGGAGGCCAGCTTCCCCTCTCCCCTTCTGCTCCCCAGCCCCTGCCACTGGAGTCCATCTGCTAGACTGGCCAGGGCTGTGCCGACACACTCAGAGAGGCTCCTGCCCGGAACGACTGCCCCAGAATCCCGGGCTGCTCCCTCAGCGTCCTGACCCCGGGCTTGTGCTTGTCCACTGGGCAGGCAGGAGGGGGTGGCGTAACTGGCTTCACTCCCATCCTCACCTCTGCCATGGACCAGGGATCATAAGACCCTGGGTTCTGAGAAACCACAGAAGCCTGGTGAGGCAGCTGGACAGCCTCAGTGACGTTACCCGCTTCTGCCCTTCTGCCTGGGACAGAGGGAGAGAAAAGGCACACTCTTCTGGGAGACACACTATGTCAGTCCCAAACTCTCCCACCAGGAAATGCTGGAGTCTGGCTCAGGAACCAAGACAGCCCAGCCTACTGCCGGCCCAGGCCTGAGGCAAGAATCACTGGGGCCTGGACCCAGGTCCCAGCTTGTCACCACATGCAGCATCAGGGAGCCAGTGGGCTGTGATGGGAGGAGAGGGAGAGGCCTAAAACTGCCTTTGCAAAATGATGACTGAGACAGTGAAAGAGATTTAACTTAACTGACTCCATCTTGCTTTTAACCTCCAAGCTGTCCCCGCTCATTCCTATGCTCATTAGGCACAGGCTGAACTAACTTTGGGAAAAACTTAGTTTATAGTTAAACCAAGATAGTAACAGCCCTTTCCCAGAGCAGACCTCATTCTTGCCTGGGGAATAGATTGCCTTTGTAGAACTAACATTAGCCACAAGATTAGAAATTGTAGTTTAGGATCCATGCCACTGGAGGCTCCCTAAACTGCTCCTAAGATCAGTGCTTGAGATATTTTGCAGACCCTGCACTTGATGGATCAGCTGGCCCCACCCAGATCGATTAACTGGCTCATCTGATCTTGGGGCCCCCACTCAGGAACTGACTGAGCGCAAGAGGACAGCTTCGACTCCCTATGATTTCATCCCTGACCAATCAGCACTCCTGGCTCACTGACTTCCCCCCACCCACCAAGTTGTCCTTAAAAACTCTGATCCCCACATGCTCAGAGAGACTAATTTGAGTAATAATAAAGCTCTGGTCTTCCACACAGCCAGCTCTGCATGAATTACTCTTTCTCTATTGCAATTCCCATCTTGATAAATCAGCTCTGTCTAGGCAGCACACAACGTGAACCCCATGGACGATTACAGGCCCACACAGCCCTTCTGCCACCAGCTTCTTCCTGCCCTACGGAGCGGAGGCCTGGAGAGGGAGAGAAAGCCAAGAGTACCCTGAGGGAGCCCCCAGCTGAGGGGGAGTGAAGCCCCACCCCTTCCTGAATTGGGCTCACAAACAGAGGCTTTGAGAGCGCAACCCTAAGACGGAGGTCTCCTCCAGAGTGAGCGGCATCGAAGCCAGAGGCATCCCGGGGAGCTTATTCCAAAGGGAGGGACTGCCTCCCCCATTAGACTAAAGGGAGTTCAAACTGCTAGAAATGGTTTCGCCTTAGCTCTCTGAGAATCTGCCATCATCAACTTCTCTTATCTCCAAGGAACAGTCACTCCAAACCAGGAAGGCAAAGGGAAAGTAGAACAAGGCCCCCAAGCTGCCAAATGGATGCCACCACAAGCCCACCCCTTCATTTGATAAGCATCTGTTGGTCGGGTGCAGTGGCTAGAGCCTGTAATCGCAGCACTTTGGGAGACCAAGGTGGGCCCTGAGCTCAGGAGTTCGAGACCAACCTGGCCAAGATGGTGAAACCCCATCTCTACTAAAAATACAAACATTAGCTGGGTGTGGTGGCGCGGACCGGTAATCCTACCCACTCAAGAGGCTGAGGCAGAAGGATCGCTGGAACCCAGGAGGCAGAGGTTGCAGTGAGCCAAGACGACGCCACTACATTCCAGCCTGGGTGACAGAACGAGACTCTGTCTCAAAACAAACAAACAAACACCATCTGTTGAGTTCCTACCACATGACAGACGCTGCAGCTACAAAGATCAGGAAGTTGTGCCTGACCCTGGGGACCTGACAGGCTAGTGTATCAGTGATGACAATCCAGGAAGACAGGCCTGTGCACAGGGGCCATGTGAACCCATAAGGGGACATCTCAATCAAACACCGACAAAGGGTCATGTACTTTGCTCACAGGAACCCTCGCTCAGAACTCATTTATTCTTAGTTTACGAGAGTACTAATTTCAGAACTGTGGCTTCCTGCTTATAACAAGTTAGAAACAGTATTTTTGAGGTAGCAAAAATTATATTACAGAGGGGCAGAATAACAGCAGTGAGAAAGTACAGCCTAACGGCAGGGAGGGACACGATTAAAAGTCTAAGAACTCAAAAGGCATTGTAGTAGGGCATTTTAGTGTCTCTTAAACGGCCCTGTGTGGAAAACTGACTCCCCCTGCCTCAAAGGGGCCTATGGGCATTGGCAAAATGCACGAGATCAGTCACATTGACTTTGAGTTACCTGCAGAAAAGGTCAAATTTTGAAGTGTCCATTCTCAGAAGCAGGGAGCGGGTGATGCACTTGAGAAAGAATTCCCATCTTATCAGGACTGAAGTAAATAAGGCAGAATGACTATTGGAAAATGCTACTTCAACCTCAACTACTTCCTTGTTCCTTCTTCCCACTGGTTGAAGATCTGCCCCTGGGGCCATGAAAAACAAACCAGCCTAAAAGCCCAATCTTTTTTTTTTCTTTCTTTCTTTCTTTTTCTTTAAATTTAGAGACAGGGTCTTACTCTTTCTCCCAGGCTGGAGTGCACTGGCGCCAACACAGCTTTTATGTCCCGCTACCACCACACACGCACATGCGTGCACACATACGTGCCTGCCTCTGGCCCCTGGAATCCAGTTGATCTTCCCCAATCATAATATACATTTTGGCCAGGCCCGGTGGCTCATGCCTGTAATCTCAGCACTTTGGGAGGCCAAGGCGGGTGGATCACCTGAGGTCAGGAGTTCTAGACCAGCCTGGCCAACCTGGCGAAACCCCATTTCTACAAAAAATACAAAAATTAGCTGGATATGGTGGCAGGCGCCTGTAACCCCAGCTACTCAGGAGGCTGAAGCAGAGGTTCACTTGAACCCGGGAGGCAGAGGTTGCAGTGAGCAGAGATCACGCTGTTGCACTCCAGCCTAGGGGACAGAGTGAGACT